TAAATTAAAATTAATGTCAGCTGCTCTGGATTTAACCTGATTTTGACCAGAAAACCACAGCACACTCTGTACCAGTCCATGACAGTTCATTACAGTAATCTTCACCATAATACTACAAAATAATCACTTTATCCTGCTGTAAACCGCCTGGTATTTTTATGCAACCTTTGAATTATATACAGGAGTTATACTTCAAATTATTCAGTAAGAAATTTCTCATTTTGTGGGGGAAATAGCTTCCTTTCATGAAAAAGGAACACTTCATGTATAGATCCAGTATCTGATTAAAGACTAAAAATGAATTACAACATCACAGGTTAGCTCTAAATTTCCAGTTAATCAAATTTCTCTCGCTGAGCAATCCTCACATATCTCCTGTTTTTATTTCCGTCTTTCACCATCTCTATGAGTGTTACACTTAAATATTCCCACTTGTGTTTGGGGATATTTGCTAACCTGTTTGGAAGGCTGCATTTGAATTTACCTCCCACTTACAAACATTCCCCCTTATTTATGTTCACCCCACTTCAGCAGGACAAGTTAGATGCTAAGATAGTGTGACCACAACTTTATTAACTTCTGCACAATTAACAGCTTACACGGCTAATAAGGGGGGGGGAAGGGATGTGTTGAGGATGTCATTCATTTTCCTGCTGCTTAATAAATATCTCCATGCCATCAACTGGAAACAAAAACTCAAATCCATCACCTCAATGACATTTTGCAAAACAAAACAAAAAACATACAATGAGAATGAAGTGATGACATTTTTGATATTGAAAGGACAAATGTCTGAGCAGACTTGCAACTAGATTTGTTGGCATTAGAGTTGCAAACAGCTGCAAAGACTGCTTTTCTTCCAGCTGTTTTATTTGTGAAAATTCTCATTGCACAGACATATATGTGACACTTGAGCAGGAGATGCTCTAAATGGACCTACTTTAGCTCCATACAGCACCAGCTATTTTTCCCTGTTTGTTTTCCCCTCAGAGGAATAAAATTATAACAATTTTATTCCTCATCATCTTACATTTTGATTTACTGTAGCCTTCTTTCATTTCTAACAGGATAACAGGATAAGTCATTATGGTGGAAGACACAAGATTATTTACTTAATGTATTACTAAAGAAGTGTGGACATCAGGTTTTATTGCCATCGCATCTGCTGCGGTTATATTAAAGCAGTCCCGAGGGACTGTCTTGTGCCTTAATTTGACACAATTTGAGAGTTTGCTGACAGGATGCCCAGCAAAAATCCCTTTTTTAACACACAGCAGAGCACCGGGAAGGGGAACGTAATCATTTATGCCAAGGAAAAACAGCTTGCATAAACCATAGTACATAATTGGGACATTATTACATTGAAGCCCTGAAATCGTGCTTTTAAAGCTTAAGTATTTTGCCATATTATTAAGTGAAATTGGCTAAAAGAAGGCATTCGTTTTTAAGAGTTTAATAAACATTCTTTGATAATCTTCTTCAACAAATCTGTGTAAGGTTCTCAGGACCCTAATATGAAAATCTTGCAGAGGTTACAGATTTGGGGTAGTAATATTGAGTAAGGAACTTGTTTATTAAGTGTGCCTATGCCAAAAGGCACACTTATTACTATTTCTTACATTATACCTTCTTCCTCCACAGGGGTTATGGGTGTATATGATAAACATAGCATTCAGTGCTTTGGCAATACTGCACTTGACATACCTCGGCTCAGTGTTCAACTCCAGTGTGGACTTTATGGAGGAGGATGAGGTAAGACATGATAAGAGTATGCTAAGCCCCAGAGGAAAGCGCACATTTTGCAGGATAGAACCAGAGAAGAGATTGGAAAAAGAACATTTTAAAATACAGTAAAATGTGAAATCAAGTTAATGGTATTCAAAAGCTTTAGATATTATTGTTGTGTATATGACTAGTTAGGCCAAATGCACGAGTTATTTTTGAGGAACCTTTACAAATTCAGGATATGTATAGAAGGCTAGCAGTGTGCTATTGACGTAGCATTGTGACATACTGAAGTCCCAGCATGTTTAGAAGATTAAAGGTGTCTATATTTATATGCCCTGCTATAAAAATGTGGAGCTCACTGTGACATATGAACGTGTGAATTGCTGCATAGGAATGTAACCTTAGTTGTGATATTTATTATCAACAGTTAAAGTAATTTATGGTTTTGCTGGATGAAAGGCCTTAGATGAAATTATTTTCAGTCAGTAATGACAAAAAAAAAATCACATTTTGTAAAGATCTTTCAGGAAAAGGTTTAAATGATACTATACACTATACTACTACACATTACTGGACTCACTATGTACATCCCCTTACAGGATAATATCACCCATCATACCATTCAGAAGTGGTCAGAGCTGAGCTGGACCAGCCACTGGGTCACATTTGGATGCTGGATATTATACCGCCTTATTCTCTAATAATAAGAAATGAAGAAAGAGTGAAGGAAGTAATAATGAGAGATGGAAAACTGGTTCTGCACTTCTGCACTGTGACTTTATCCCGCATCAGACCGAAGAGAACAGAATCATCTTGTATACAACAACGAACCAACATTCAGTGTTCAGGTTGCACCACAAGTTGGCTGGGTAATCTATTATTCTAACCTGCTGGGGACTAGTTTTGATATCCATGAAATGATAGCTCGCTCCTCATTTCTTTTCTCTGCGTCGCTCCCTTTTTATCTGAGCCGCAGTTATCAGGCCCTCATGTTGTGACAGCGGTTACCGATGTCTCACTGTGAGTCACAATCAATACCTATCAGCATGGTGGATATTGGCCGCTTGTTTCTGTGGACACACGATAAAGCCCATTATCTAGGTTTCAGCGTCGACTGCGGCAGATGGCCTCAGTCGACGTTTCTCTTCCCTTTTTATGTTATAAAATCGTTTCAGTTTAAAGGGTAGGGGTGGCAGTCATCAATGTCTTCTTATAGTGAATAATTTCTATGAAATGACCTAAATCAATAGTGCAATTGTAGATCTCTCAGTATTTTACAGTTTCCTCCAACTGTCTGTCCGTAGTACTCAGCCCTTTCTAAAAAAAATAAAATAAAAAATGCTCAAAAGAATATGAAACAGCTGAGACTGTAATTTTCAGTGAATGTCACTCAAAAAGAAACGACGAGTACATTTGTGAAAAGGTATCTCTGCAGTCCACACAGTCGGCATTCCTCTGTCAAAGCTGGTGTTCATCAACCATCATTAACATCGAAGGCTCCACTCTGCACTGGTGCTATGCAGAGCTTTGCAGGTGCACGCCTACTTGATATAGCTATCTCCTGCCACTTGGGGGTAGTATCAAGAACAACTGGAAATGTGGGTTACTTTTTGTGTTTGCTTTGCTGTTGGTCCTTTGCCTTTATCCACAGAGACTGTATATGAAAGACGGCCACCTCAGCCTCATCTATTGATTTGTGAAGTCCCATTTTAAGCCTCTAATTTAGCTTAATGGCTAAAACCATCTTTTTGTTACTTTGTTTTTTACTCAGAGGGCACCGTATTTTCCTGAGGAGGTGTATTGCTACATTGTGAGCTAGTGCTAGCTTGGTTAGCAGTCTGCATTCATCAAATGCATTCAACAAAAATGCTATAAAATACAACCAATACTTTAGTAATTAGTGATACAGTTTCACTCACTGACACCGCAAATCTTAATTTAGACAAGCTAACTTAGACAGCTAGCATCCTAATCAACACCCACCAGCGATAGAGGCCACAGCTGCTTATTTGTTGGACATTTTAATATTAAGCCAGCGGGGATTGTTTCATCATGGCCATTTGAAGTATCTGGCACCTTTTCCTCTTTATGTGAACGCTGCTGTGGTTGTTCACTTTTTGGTTCAACCAATCAGCATTCAGACTATTCACCGGTATAGGAGCAATGCACCTCTGACCTGATGGAGGAGAGCATGCAAACATGTCTCCTTAGCACCTTCTTTTGGTTGTGTTTTCCTCATTCTGTCCTCTGGGTAAACACATAGAGCTACACCAGCAGCGGACAATAAATCAGCTTTGACCCAACCACATCAGACATTTATTAATTGCCTCCTTTGATTGAGGAATTGCCATTGGCAGAGACCTACTCTTGCCTATTTTCAGTTTATTGTAGTTAACAGCAGAGACAAAACTTTCCTATAGTTTAGTTAGGGTGTTAGCTTTGGTCTTTTCATGGAATTACTATAAGAAAAAAACTGAAAATGACGAGTCTCGTTCTTTAATAGAGCTTGTCTCTTGAGCATGTGTAAGACAATGAGGAATTAATTTTGAATGAAAAGAGCACAGATTATGGTTACGAGGCAGCAATTTTATTGTCAACAGTAATGATTTCCCTTTTTAGTGAATTTTAGATAAAGACAAATATTCAGTAAGTCCATGAATTAAAGTTTGTGGTGGAGTTTCCTGGTGTTTGTATTTAGCTTTGTGTTAATTTGTTAATTTCATTTGAACTGAATTATTTCCTCTTGCTTAGAATAGGTTGTATTAGTATTCTTAAAACTCTGTTATTCCTCAGTGCAGAAAAAAAAGGTTTAGAATCAGGGTCATTTAAAATGTGATTACACGATATTAAATATTCAATCTTAACTACAGATTTTTAATACACGGCTGCTTTTAATGACACATTTATGTAATTAATGATGATCTGATAAAATAATACAAGTGTCCAGTCTGTCTTTCCTTAATCTAAACTGTCAAAGGAATTGCTTCTTGCCTAGCATGTCGTGTTAGATTAGAGCCTGAATGTTCGTCTCTGCCCAAGAACAAGTGCTCAGTCTTTGCAGACCTAACATCACTCAGTATTTTAAAACCTGTTCTGATATTTACTTTAGGTCAATGTTTTTTCCCTGTAAATGTGAAGGCACTGGTACACCTGTGATATTTTTATAAAATTTGTAATGAAACCTGGAACGTTGTCTTTGTTTGATTCAGTGTCGACATTTCAGAGATTTTGTTTTCTTTTTAAAAAAAAACAAATGCCATAAAAACATGGACTGCTGTAATAAATAACTGTTTATTTTAGTGATTTACAAAAATAATGTATCAACTGTTACAAAGTCAATCATGGCATTAGGGTGAGTTGAGAAGGACTGCATGATTTTTTTGATTTTATTTTTTGATCTTTAAGCAAAGATCTGGTCAAACCTGGAGTCTATTTCTGAGCATCCAATAAGCTAAAGAGGACAATGTCAGGAAGGTGACAGAAAAAGGTTGAACGACAGATGGTGATGGATGGAGATCAGGTTAATTTTTTTTTTTTTTTTGCCACTGCCAGGGGTGAGCATATGCTGTATTGCCAGGCCACACAACAGCACAGTCTGCAGGCTCTGGGGAAAAGAGCAAAATGGAGGGAAGGGGAGGTGCGCTCAGCCCTGTCTGCCCCGAGGACCCCCATGTTTACGACGGCAAGACCCAAGCAGTGTCTCCAAAGCCATCTTCACAAATGCCTGGAAGTTATTGCTTCTCTCCCTTCGGCTGTCCTGCGAGGGGATAAAACACAGACAGACACCTTCACTGGGGACACAGCACTTCATTTCACCCCTATGTGCCACATGTAGGGGATTTCATATACTGCTCCAATCTGTCAAAATCAAGTCTGCACAAAATAAATGTCTTTTCTAATTATTATTAATATTTTTCTTTAAATAATATAGTTAATATAAATGCTTACCTCCTTGCTTCTTGTTATCATCTCCTTTCTGATCACCTTTCTTCGGCTGCTCTTTAGGACTCTGAGGTTGCTGTGAAATTAAAGTAAAACGAATAAACTCAAGCAGCACAAAATGCAGATTGAGACAAGAGTTAGAATAATAATGACGTTCCTACCTTGGTAGTTGACTTCTTGTCCGACTTATTACCTGAAAATGGCACAAATATTCAGATTAGTTTTAAACATTTGGCAGCAAGGCCAACTTTTCTGTAGCTTTTGCTGATTTTATTGGACATGGAGCTCTGGTATGCAAATAAATTAAAATATATTTTTGTATTATTAGGGTTTTTTTGTTGCATGCTACTAACCTTTTGTTCCTGGCATTTTGGCTATCCTCCAGAGTCGATGGTGTTTTTTTTTTTGAGAATGCAGTGCTTAATGTGGTGTTCAGCTCGGTCATTTATGGCCCGTGCTTGTGAATGGCTCTGTCACTGGGGCCCCTTCGAGAAAGAGCACCATGAACAAGCAAAGAGCCCCGTCAGCTTAGCAGCACGCCCTACAGCTCTGCAGGTCTTTGCTGAGCTAGGCGAAACCTCTGAGCTGACCTTGTAATACTGCCATTGTGAACCCACTGGAACCATGTGTTCACCTATTGTGCATGGCAAGAAAGTATTTTCATCATATTACAGGCAAAGTGATCATGTTTTTTTTTTTATTATTGTTGTTATTTTTCAGCTAAGTCATGGATCACACTTCCTCCCACATTGATAGAAGGTAACACTTTGTCCTTAGAAATTTAAATGTTTCTGCTACATATTGTTACACTGAATTGGCCTCCAACCTTGTCAGCACTTTAGGAGTGGATGGTTTTGGCAGGGATCATTAAGTTATACTCAGATTTGCAATGCTTTGCATTTTCTGTGTGGACTAGTAAAATATTGCTGATATTAATCAATTGATTATTTTGCTTCTCAGCGGGTCAAAGTGATCACCATAATGCAACCAAACCATGCATAGTTTTTTCCTATAAGTAAACAAATATAAAGCCCTAATATTTTATTGATTTCTGAATAAATAAAAAAAAACCCTATAGCCGTGTACTTAATGAGTTAATGGACTGTTAGATCTTTTGCACCTCAGTCGATCCATGGTCGGTTAATTATTTTGAATGTAACGTTAAATGTAAACGCTGTGAATCATCATCCGGATTCAGCAGCTCCACATCAGTGACTGGGCTGGTTACAGTGTGTCACGTGATTTGACAGAAAAAGCAGCGATGGAGAAAAGCTAAGGAAGGTGAGCGATTTCTAGCCGTATTTTACTGAGTTTCTTTGCTCTGTGATCACCATTCATGTCTTATACGCTGTATTAAATTGTTAGCTCCTAGACTGTGTGTCTAAGCTGAAAGTTGAACGAGAAAGTGTTTTTTATGAGCAGTAGTCGCATATGATGTTGTGGCTAACTTGCTAAATGACAGGCTAGCGCTAGTTTAGCTCGTCTGCTTACATTGTTTCGAGAAAATAAAAGCGGAAACCGTTCAGCAGATTATGTCGGTTCTCCTTACGGATTGTTTTCTAGTGTCAAACTCGCATTGCATAACATTTCAGTAACACAACCATTCATTTGCCATTAGAATTTGAATCATTGCTACCTTTGACGCTGAGGATGTGATGGTGCGGGTAATATTTCAGTTTTATCAGCGCATCATTAATACTAGCTTGTCTTTTTTCGACCTCATACAGTTGGTACATGCTTTTTTTCCCGTTAAAGTTGCTAATAATGTGAATTTTGTGTTGTGTCTTGTGACAGGTATCTGCCCTGGTAGTGGCTTCCTCTTTACCCAGAGTGCTTGTGGAATGGCAGCAGTTTGGCAGCAGGTGTTGGCAGTGGACGCAAGGTGAGACTCAGTCAGGCAGCTGGCTTTAATAGTCCAAACTGATGACGAAGCCATTCAGACGTGTAATTGTATATGGATCATTTGTGAGTTATTGCCTGTGCTGTGTCATTTCTTTCCCCTTTTCCAGGTACAATGCTTACCGCACGCCTACCTTCCCACAGTTCCGAACTCAGTACATCCGCCGACGCAGCCAGCTGCTCAGAGAGAACGCCAAGTGTGGCTTTGAGCCAGGGCTGCGCAGGCAGTACCTGAAGCTGCGCAGTCAGCTGCTGGCCCTGCGCTACGGGCCCCTGTCTGAGCAGAGCAGCTTCAGGGCCAGCAGTGTGCGCAGCTCCCGCACCACACTGGACCGAATGGAGGTCAGACCCAAAGAAATAGAAAGGGCAGGAAAAGTAGAACAGGCGAGAGAGTAGGCGGGTGTGGTTGCACTAATTTGGGGGGAAAAGATTTTAAAATAACTTAAAGCTGGAAAGGAAGTTTAGGATATAAGAGCCATCTGGAAGGCTTAATGTGAGTTTTGATCAGTGAGCAACATAGCCAAGCAACACTTTGGTTGCCCGTTCATATTAAACTGAGCAGCTTGGTTGAAATTGCTGGCATTGCCCATGTAAGTGGGCAGTATCAGTAACTTGAAAATGCATGGTAATTTCAACAAGTTTTCAACATTTCTTGGTTGTTTTTGTTTCATGATTGTTTGAGGTCTTGAGTTCTTGCACTCACTCCTTTGAGGTTCTTTCTCTCTCTGCGGCCCCTTCTGCTCTCTGTCAGGACTTTGAGGAGGACCCCCGTGCCCAAGGGGCTCGTGGTCATCGCCGGTCTGTCAGTAGAGGCTCGTACCAGCTACAGGCCCAGATGAACAGAGCCGTCTACGATGAGAGGTACCCAGAAGAGTGCACTCAGAGACCAGCTCACATCCAGCATTTTGTCTCATTGCTTTAAGCAATTAAATTCGTTTTTGATTTACTTCTGCTATGAGTAGATGCGTTAGTTTAGATTTACTGGCCGTAATTCTAGTTATGTGGCACTGAGTAATGACTGGATCTCTTATATTGAGTGGTCAGCTGTAGGCAAGGGTTGTGAGGTGTGTTTTATTGATTATGTGCTTACGTGACAGTTTTTATTTGTGACCTCAGGCCTCCGGGCAGTTTGGTGCCCACCTCAGTGGCAGAGGCCAGTCGTGCCATGGCAGGAGACACAACATTGAGTGAAAATTATGCTTTTGCTGGCATGCACCACATATTTGATCAACATGTCGACTCTGCTGGTAGGTAAATGGTTTTGAATTCATTATAATCAATGTGTATACACTGAAAATCTCCATGTATTCCACGCTTCTGTCCTCTTTTTGTTCTTTAAGTTCCACGTTTGCAGTTTGCCAATGATGACAAGCACCTCCTTGCTTGCTGCTCACTGGACGGCACTCTGTCCATTATGACACTCTCACCACCTCCTCCCAGTGTGAAGGTGACCCTAAAAGGTCATGGAGGTCCAGTTACAGACTTTGCCTGGTCTCTGAGCAATGACATCATTGTGTCGACATCGCTGGACGGGACACTCCGTATTTGGAATACAGAGGATGGCCGGTGCATCCGAGAGGTCAGAGATCCAGAATCCAGCGAGTTGCTCTGCTGCACCTTTCAACCCATGAATAATAACCTTACTGTGGTGAGTCCCATATTACATGTGATATAAAAAGATAATACCACAAAACAAAGAAAGTTGAACTGAAATAAAAGTTACTTTTGAAAATCACCTTGCATGAAAGACTGAAATGTGAAAGATGACTAAATAACCGAGGCTAATTGAGTACAGTGAACTCATTATCGTGTTCAAGAAGCCAGTTTGAGAGGATTTGAGTTTTTTAACATGGCGTGTTATCATCAGCTATCAGAAGACGGGTACACTGTTCATAAATGGATGGACATGGCCATCTACAATACTCAGGCTGTGGTGTTTAAACGAAGCTTAACCCTTTAGAACCTACCATAGAACCAAGAACGCCAGAGCTTATCTTTATATTTTTACATGCTGTAGTGCCATTTTTGGGAGCAGTTCAAGTTGCTATACATCAATACAACAATTATAGCCCAAATTTTAATAATATCTATGCATTAAGTCCATAGTAACTACATAAATTGCAAATAAGTGCAATAAACTATAAAAAAAATTGAAAATCATTATTTTACACCTATTTCTAGTTAGAAAAATTTCTAGTTTCTAGTTATATACTGCAGGGAAAACGAAAAAATGAATATTACAATGCAAATTTGCAAAAAAAACAGCATGTGCATTATTATAAACTATTTCCAGCAGTGCAATTTGAGTTGTAAGCATCCCAGAAACGATACAGAAAAGCATGAAGTCAAACATAAAAAACACCAGTGTAGGCTTATAAGGCCCTGAAGGTAAAAAACTAAATTTTCACAAAATTGATGCCACTTCCGGTTTCGGGCAGGTATTGGCGGATGTGGGATAGTTCGCGCTGACGTCTGTTCCCACGTAGGAAGTGTTATGAACAGCTGATTGGATCAGCAAAGCCTGTTTCTGGAATATTATATTGTTGTTGCTGCAAGTGCTTTTTATGCAATCTTTGCAAAGCTACATGTGGAAGGAAACCTAGGACAAACTGATGGCATAAGTTGTAAGTACAACTCCTCCGGTTTCAAATGCAAAAAAAATTATTGCGCTAGCTTACGTGGTTCCAGTTCATTTAAAAATAGTTACGCAAAATGGAGCATGCCTGCTCCGATTGGTTTTAAAGGGTTAATTGGTGCTAAGTGGATCCAGTGTGGTGCTTCCATAGTTTAGCCTTTCTGATGCTTGGTTTGAACTTTAGCAGGTTGTCTTGGCCAAGTCTGTATGCCTAAATACATTGAACTGATGCCATGTGATTTGTCTTAGCAAACAGTTGAAAAAGTGTGCCTAATAAAGTGGTTGCTGAGCATATATCCTTGGTTGCAGAGGATATAATTGATGTATTTTATTTTGCTTTAATGTGTATTGTTTGAAAGGATTAAAGGGATTAGTTGCTGAAAATATTACAATAAATGATGGCTTTCTTTGAAATTCCTAAAGGATCTTAAAGCAAGGTGGATGAATGACAGTCAATAATGTGTGAGTGTGTAGACTGGATGCATGTTCTCTTATTGGGTGATAAATATAACATTTAAAATTGAAATTCAAAATTTCAGGGGCTCGGACTTTAGTTGCAGGCTTCACATTGAATGTGCGTGCTAGTTTTTAGTTGTTGTTAAGATATGTTAAGACGAGACACTAGTTAAACCTGAACAATAACTGTGTAGTCCGTCACCAGATGTCTGCTTACACCTTTACTGTTTTCCGCATGCTTAAAGTCACACTTCAGTTATCCGACACTTTTGGTAAAGGCTGAAAGAAATTACCTTTCTGAGTAACCTCAAGGGACATTTACAGCTTTTATTTCCTTCAAACTTCATAGCGCACTCTGAAATTAATTCATTGTCACATTTATTCCAGATGTTTCCCCTTTTGTGAGTAAAGTCTAAATTAAGCCTTTCATGCTGAGGCAATAACCTCCAAAAAGAACCCTTTTATCCCAGTCTCAATAACTAAATGAATACTTCCACTGTGCAGACATTGATTAAAATTTTAGAATGAAATGTCAGCCTTTGTGAAGTGGTAAATGTGACGGATAATTTGGATTTCACTTAGCTGTTTGATGACAAATACTTTGACGGATGTACAGAATGTAAGCTGAAAGACGTGTTGTCACAGCAGTGTCCATTTACGCCTCATTAAATATAACATGAGAAAGATAAATTTGGGTTTCGCAGGTTAAATTACAACAGAAAGAAATGGTGCACACTGTCAGTTTCTCCGTGTAGCGCTGTGGAATTATTAAAGGTCTTCATTCCCGGATCTGTGTTCCAGGTGGGAAACAGCAAGCACCACCTGCAGGTGGTGAACATCTCCACTGGGAAGAAGGTGAAGGGGGGCTCCAGTAAGCTGACAGGCCGCGTGCTGTCTCTCTCCTTTGATGCTCCAGGGAAGATCCTTTGGGCCGGTGATGACAGGGGGAGCATCTTCTCTTTCCTCTTTGACATGGCCACAGGTACACCTACCACATTTACATTTGGAAAAGGGCCACATTAGAAATTATGAGTTTTTCTCTGAAGAGTATGTCTGCTCTGGAGGGTCAGCAGCTGATCTGTTTCTGTCGGTCTTTGCTGGTTTTGTTCCTCCCGACCCAACCACAGGGAAGCTTACTAAAGCCAAGCGTCTGGTGGTGAGTGAAGGCAGCTCTATCTGCAGCATATCCGCTCGTTCCTGGATTAGCCGAGAGGCCAGAGACCCCTCGCTGCTGGTTAACGCCTGTGTCAATAAGCTTCTGCTGTACAGGTCAGTCTGCAAGAGCAAGTCACTGTTAATTAATAAGCAGCTTTGTTTCCACTGTGCAGATTTTAAAGCTGTAACATGTTTACTTGTGATATCTGTTTGTGATTATGCTGTTACGCTGAATTTGACCAGTTATGACACCTTCACATTGGCAGGGTGGTAGACAACGAGGGAACACTACAGCTGAAGAGAAGCTTCCCCATCCAGCATGGATCCCAGCTCGTTCATAGCATCTTCTGCCCCCTCATGTCTTTCAGACAAGGGGCCTGTGTGGGTAAGAAGTCTCCCAGTGTTCCTGCTGTAATATTTGAATACAAAATTAGACCATAGTTTATATCCTGCTGCAGGCAGTTCAGTGTAAAACACTGACCAAAATAGCATACCACTGCCTCTGGAATAAAACAACAAAAAAAAAAGACAATTTTTGAGAGAGAGAGTACTTTTCCTATGAAGTAAATTGCTAACATGAGACCAGCACGGTTGCAGTGAACCTGTTATGCTTTTATTTATTTTCTTAATTTTCCTTAATTTTAGATTTATGGAAGTTTATAGCAAAAATGAGCCGAGTTTAAAATATGCATGTCCAACCTCTGAAAGCCAGAAGCTCAGGCTATTTCATGTCTTAAAATAGATACTTTCACACATTTATTTAGAAGGTGCTTGCCAGCATTTAAGAGTTCAGTAGAATTTACCCATAAAATATGTGACAACATGAAAGAACTATCTGTGTTTTTGCTGTTTTTCCTGTTTTCAAGAAAAGCATGCAAAACACAGATAGTTCTGTAAATAAATGAAAATGAGTTCTAGTGCTAATCCTCCAGGGAAGTTGGTTTGTCAAGTCATTTGAGATTAGAATCAAAGGTATAATCAGTATTCAAGGAATATTCCAATATTTCCCTTGTGATGATCAACTAATATTTCTGCTCATCCTCACTCAGGCTTCATACTGCTCTAAATGCTTGGTTTAGTCAGGAGAAGAGCTCAAATGGCCTCAGAAAGTGGATGAACTGAGATTATTTTAAACTGTGACTCATCTAAAGCTACTCTGGTCATGTAGAGTCCAAGGACAGAAATATGGAGCCTGTGTGTGGATCCCCTTTTATAAACTATAATGCTGCTCAACCTCAAAGTCTGTCCTTGCTAGATTTAATGGTTTATTTTCTATCTATCAATCATTTTTAAGACTTGTTTTTATTATTAGGTTTGTGTCTCCAGGCAAACTACTGTTAGTTAACCTAATGATTCTTATTGGCCTGTTATTCTTATTATTTGTTGTTGTATATAGAAAAAGAAGATGGAAAGTATAAAGAGACTCTTAAAGATATAAAAGAAATGTTTGAATAAGTTCAGTTAAAATCAGTTGTGTTTATATAGCACCAAATGAGAGAACAGAGAAAACATCAACCATCAGACAATTCCCTTTGAGCAAGCACTTGGTGACAGTGGGAAGGAAAAACTCCCTTTTAACAGGAAGGAACCTCCAGCAGAACAAGGCTCAGGGAGTATAATTTTATTTTCAGGTGGTCATGCAACATCTGTCTGTTTAAATCTGTCAGCAAGCTAAGTCATCAACATTTATGAATAAGCTCAACCTTCATTAAGCGCTCTCCTTCGTGTATAGCCTGTGTTACTTGCTCTTCATGCTGGAAGTGGAAAATAAACAAGCTGTGTGTCTCCGTCCTCTTGTCAGGCGCAGTGTGTGACCACCTGTGCATTTCTGATTTCGCCCAGTATGCATTAGAGTGTGCAGATAATTCTGTGTTGATTCTACTTTCTGCTGGAAAGAGAAAAAAATATATAATATACATCCTGTTGTTGTCACAGTAATTAGTGTGCACCTTGCCTAGAGACAATCCCAAATTAAATCTTCTCAAGCTGTCCTTGTAATGTCTCCACGCCATTTCTTTTTGTGTTTCTCCCTCTGCTGCAGTGACTGGCAGCGAGGATGGCTGCGTCTACTTCTTCGATGTCGAGCGCAACACCAAGGCGATAGTAAACAAGCTGCAGGGTCATGGGGGTCCAGTGTTGGATGTCAGCTTCAACTGCGACGAGAGTTTACTTGCATCTGCTGATTCCACCGGCATGGTCATCATCTGGAGGCGTGAGCAAAAGTGACTGATCCACTAATGAAAAAAACCATGTTAAAAATTTAAAAAAGCTTCCATCCACTGCATATAAAAAGCCTGCTGCTCCTTAACCGTCCAATAACAAGTCTTTAGATTTTCACTGGAATGTAACAGGCTGCGTCAAATGTTTAATGTAATGATACTCAAGTGCAATCAGAACGCCATGCTGTGTAGGTGGTAGGGATGTCTTAGAAATTCATGGTGTGGGAGGTGGGCTGTGTGTGTCAGTGCTCCTACAGCTGCAGCTGAGAAATGGCTTTTTCTTTTTTTTTCTTTGGTTTGTAAAGAATGAACGAGCACTAATACCATGCATGTGTCATGGCTGACCTCAAGTTGGGTGGATACGACCTACTTCATGTGAAGAGAACACATAATTTTCCAAAAAAAACAAAACAAAAAACACTTTATATCACACTGACAGTCCCTCTGGCATAGATCTAGTTCACTATTTATGTAACTGTTATTCAATCAGTGTAATCAAGTGTAGTAAAATGGCCTTATTTGCTTTCAGTTGCTGTTTTGCATTTGAGACCATGTGCATGAAACTGAAATCCGGATCAGGCATATCAAATCATGACAAAAAAGATTAAAGGGTGTTTTTAAGTATGTGTTTGTACTTAACCTGTATGTGTGTGTGCGTGTATACTCGGGTCAAGCTGGTTGCTGATTCATTTAATTTATTTCACAAATCCACAATAAACTATTGTAAATGTCAGTTGCCTTTGCTGCCTTTTTCATGGCATACATGGATCTCGGTATAATTGGAAACGGAAATGTGCATACCAGAGGTGCTCAGAGTAGTAAAGTGGTCAAACCTACAGTGTAGGAGAATATTAGTCATAGTGTGGGTCTTCAAGATCTACACTGCAACAGTCATTTCTGGTGTTCAGAGATGGTTTATTGTATATGGAGAGCGGTAAATTCTTCTCTGGGTATAAAGGCCATCCTACCAACATGGTCTTAAAGACTAAAATATAACATAGTTCATCAATCTGGTGGCAAAATGCACTGGATAGATTGCTATTCAGTAAAAAGGACTAGATGTTACAGTCCCTGATAATGCATGGGGACTGTAACATCTAGTCCTTTTTACTGAATAGCAATCTATCCAGTGATCTTGACTTTTCTGATCTTGGTTGATTTTGCATTCTGCCTTAATGCTGAGTGAAATCGATCCCAACAGGTGGCTGTCCCTCCCTGAGGGACGGCTGGTTCTGCCAGAGGTTTCTTCCTGTTAAAAGGGATTTTTTTTCCCTTCTCACTGTCGCCAAGTGTTCTTTTCATTGTTGGGGTTTTCTGTTTTCTTTGTATTATTGTGGGGACTGTACTTTACAATATAAAGTGCCTTGAGGCGACTGGTGTTGTGATTTGACACAAATAAAACTGGATATTGAATTGAAATATCTCAAAAATCTCTATACCTTAAATATTTTGTATCACTTGTGGATGACTTTCACTTTGGTGATTGCCCTCTTTCTTTTGCTAATCTAATAAGAAATGTAATCAGATTCTTGATAACCATGGTTCCATATTTATAAGCCAATCCATTACATACACCTGGGCAACTAATTGTTAATGCAAATCTCTAACCAGCCAATCACAGGGCAGTAACACTTAGACACAGTCAAGATGACAGGCTGAAGTTCAAAACGTGTAACAAAATGGGGAAGAAAGATGATTCAAGCGACTTTGGACGTGATGTGGTTTTTTGTCCCAGATGGGTTGGTCTGGGTATTTCAGAAACTGCTGATCTGCTGGGATTTTCCCACACAGCCATCTTTTATAGACAATCATGTGAGAAAGAGAAAATATCCAGTGAATGGCAGTTCTCTGGGTGAAAAAACCTGCTTTGAGTTGATAACGGCAACAGTAACTCAAATAACAACACGTTACAACTGAGGTATGTAGAAGAGCACTGCTGAACACACACTACTTCTATCCTTGAAGTAGATGGCCTAGATAGCAGAAGACCACACTGGGTGGCACTCCTGTCAGCTCAGAATGGGAAACTGAGGTTACAATTTGCATAGCATTAGCAAAATTGAGTAACAGAAGATTGCTAAAACATTGCCTGGTCTGATGAATCTCAATTGCTGTTGCAACTGGGGTCAGAACTGGGTGTAAACGGCATGAAAACATGGATCCACCCTGCCTTGTGTCAGTGGTTCAGGCTGCTGCAGGTGGTGGTCTGGTGTGGGGAATATTTTCTTGGCACACTTTAGGCCTCTTAGCAACAACTGAGCATTGTTTAAACAACACAGCGTGACAACACCGAGTTTTGCTGCTGTACTCATCTTCTGACGACTGCTTCCAGCAGCATAAAGCGCCATGTCACGAAGCTCAAACTGTCATAAACTAGTTTCACAGTCACCAGATCTCAATCCAATAGAGGACATCTGCCATGTAGTGGAACAGGAGATTCACACCATGGATGCACAGCTGACAAATCTACACTGTGATGCTATCATGTCAACGTGGACCAAAGTCTCTGAGGAAAGCTTCCAGCACCTCGTTGAATCTGTGCTACAAAGAATTAAGGCAGTTCTATAAGCAAACAAGTGGCCAGTGAGTGTATCTTGTTCCAGTTTGGCATCAAATTAAACACTAGAACTGCTGTCACTTTTTAATCTGATCACCATGTTAGCATGTTGATGTTAGCAGTGAATTTGAAGCACTGAGTACTGTTATTAGGGAAGTTCCTTTATGTAAGTTGTCACAAATTGCTCACATTATCAATATAGTGCTTTTGTCAATACTTCCTCTTTCTTTCCGATCCTTTAACTGATGTTATTCTTCTGAGCATCCTGTGAAACATTTATCACACTGATCTGTATCCCAAATCCTTTTTTTTAGTCACTCACTCATGACGGCTATATTTGGTGTGGGACATAATTATTTGATCCCCTGATGAATTTGTAAATTTGCTCACTTACAAAGAAATGAACTCCAGTTTTCATGGTAGCTTGATTTTGATTTTGATTTTTTTGGGGGGAGTCACAAGAAATCAACCAAAAATCCTCATTACGGAAAAAGTTCTAAACTGAATTTTTGGTTGATGTTCTGTTTCACTCCATTAAAATGAAACAACCATATAATTAGAGTCTGTTCATTTCTTTGTAAGTGAGCAAACTTACAAATTCAACACGAGATTAAATAATAATTTCCCCCTCTTTAGATGTACAACTTGAAGACTCATAATATTTAAGCTCCACTGAAAACAGTGTTTAGTGGAGTTAACTCGTCCTCTCTGAGGAAGTGTAGCAACACTTACAGGCCTTTGTTGGTTGTGTGAGGTCAGAGGACTGGCTAGAATAGCCTCACTGGCCATGGTGGTGTCACGCTTGTTGATTATTTTTGTGTGGCTAGTTTAACTAAACATAATTTACTTTTATTTTAATTTAGATAATGTTTCTAAAATTTAAATGGGTGAAAATATTATAGAATTTGCAGTAAAAAGAACTATTCGAAAAAATAATATTAAAATGACTGCACACCCCTGCATTGGAAATCACTGCGCTCACAAATTGTGACTGCAGTTTGCATTGCAGTCTCTACACAGTGCAGAGAAAAGAAAGAAATTACCAAGTGAAAAAGAGATTGAATTAAAGTAATTGAAAAGCACAGCGTTCAAAGGAACCTGTAGTTTCAAAATTTCCAGCACAGCACTTTCTCACTCGATTACATTCTTCTCAAGGTTGGTAAGGAGTTTGCGACATGCAAGTTTGGATACACTGCAAGGAAGGACGCCGGCTTTGTTTGAAGCAGCCATGATAGGTGCTGATCAAAAACAAACAAACAAAAAAAAGAGAATTGTCTATGAGGTCAACACAAAACTTCACCCGCGTGACCACATGTTTTCTGATAGGACAGTGCAACAAGGCCTATGCAGCACTCTGCATCCTCAGAACGTACAGCGGGCGGGGGTGAGCTTTCACAAATGAGTAATACCGCCTATGTTGTTGTGAATCTTGGAGAGAAGTGGGAAGAAAACTAAAAATAAGCGCTTAGATGAATCTTCAGCATCAGTTCTGGGGAGACAGAGAGGCACAGTTGGATGCAACCTGTTAAACCTGGACTATTTAGAGGGCGTTCACACAATTGATGCTGCTCACTATAGAACCATCCTCTTCATCAGCTTGAGCACAGCAATTAAGACAAAGGAAATTATCTCTCATTCAAATTTAAAATATAGGCTAATTGTTTATCAAGACATTACATAACCACACAGTGACTGGATTTCAATCATGTCCTAATTACAACAATGAAGTATTTTTCTTCCAAGCCATCCATTTTCTTTTAACGTGCCAGAAGCACTGCTGTTGCATAAGGCTTGCTGTACATGTGGAATCTGTATGAGCTGGGGTTTTTTTTATACTACATTGATGTTTCTCATCCTGCAGAGGAGTTAACCATAAAGTATATCCAAAATTATTTTCTATGATCGTATGTCTACTATTCGTTTAAGATCCTGATACTTGTAGAGATATTGATCCAAATATCTTAGCATGAGCACTAATTATGCCTATTTTAAAATATAAAATGTGTTTTTATGGTATTTTGAGGGATTAGATACCCCTTAAAACCCTTTCTGCAGTTTGCACAAAAGATTCAACAGCTGCCACTTGAAAACGGTAGGTGAAAGAAAAAGCTACTTTTAATTTACATAATTTATACAGCGGCCGTTTTTTCAGTTTTCTGCTGTATTAATTGTTATCTCTTAGAATACACCATACAATCTAACCAATACAGAAATACTAATGATTATGAAATTACTGCAACCCATCATCTCCAGAGGTTACTCCTGTGCATGACCATTAGTATAAAAGAAAATAACACAGTATTCCACAGTATTCCACTTTCAAATGGATCCATTTCATTCATTCAGTTGAGTACACTTTGAACCTTAAAGATTAGCTTCGTCTGGTATAAACAACAGTTTATTGTGACCTTATGAACATCCTAGAGTTGCATAACGTGACCTTTGGTTTTATTGCAGGAATGTTTCATTATATTCAGAAAGGCCAGTTAGGTTTTTCCTTATTTTCTGCATTTATGCACTGTTACAATAGAAGACGCTCATATTAGCGTCAAGGGTAGGGGTAGCATATTTGCAAGTAATGTCTGTGATCCAAAAGCTCAGGCTTCAACTGATCTAAATGCTCTCTTTCTTACATTTCTGCTACCTTTGGCTCTCTGTGATGTCACCAAGATGATGAACCAAGTATAAGATAAATAGGGATTATTTCTAACACTGAATCATTCAAAGCTTCTCCAGAAGAGGCTTTGAATAAACATATGGAGGTGGAAATGAGCATTTAAGCTGCCTTTTTATGAAGCATCATCCACATCATAATTCACTGATGCACTTTATGGGCCTATCAGGTGTTTTCAGTCCCATTTTGAGTTACAAACCCTCTCTGGCATTAAAACTGTGCACCAGGAGCTTCATGGTTTTTGGTTTTCATGGCTGAGAAGCTCCTGCAGGTGTGACGTGTAGGTGGGCTGCTACTTTTGTCCATATATTTTATGTTTTCAGTTCTTTTTTTTGTGTGACACCTGTCTCCACAGGTCTGAAATGCTACTGGAGAAGAAAATCACAAAGTTTTTTGACTGTATAGTGATTGTTGATCAGTGCTCAGTGGAGGGGATGACTTTTTCATTTCATCCAGTGAAGTGTACAATGATAGACCGATGTGTCATAAATTCAGCTTTTTTGTATGTGTTCGAGAACAACAATGGACACAGGGTGCAATTTGTGCTGCACAAACTGTTAAGTGGCCTATTTTGTGTAAAGTGCTGTCCACTGGGCCCGTGTCGCAATCGAGACAGGTCATAAATCAGAATGCATCAAAAGTAGAGTCTTTATTGATGAGTGGGCAAAAGAACCAACTCAGTTAAACTGTACAGTTACAGAATATCATCTCGCGAGGGAATGCCAGACGTAAAAATTATGGACCTCTGTTCACTTTTCACTTTTTCTTTCCATAACAACATCTGTACAAGTTGTAATCCCCAGTTTTGAATCTATGAAATGCAGTGGAATGCATGCTTAGTACAGTATGCTGTGCAAGTGTCCACATTTAAAAAGAATTGACTGCACGTGTATATCTATGCCTAACATATCATAGGTCAGACATTTGTGTCACATGAATTGTAATTTGGAGAGACAATTCATTGTATTCATTGCCAGTTTTCATACACCACACAGATTGGGGGTCGTATACAACCTGAAGATGTTTGGATTTTGAACATACTGTGATCCAGACACTCAAGTGCTGGCTTTAATGTTCGGGGGTGGGGGGGATATAAGATGGCACGGTAACATTCAAGTTTCATTCAAATTAAGTGCCACTTCATTTTCTCTTTTTTTTTTGTATTCTGGTGAGAGCAAAACAGCACTTTAAAACATTCCCAAGATCGTCATTTGCAAATAAATGTACACTTCCTAATGGGTTTTTTTTTTTTCCAAATAACGTAATATACATCATCATTCAAGTCATTAAATCCTATGGCCTGTTTTCAATGTACAACTGTTGTTTTCTAATTATTCTGTCTCCCTTTTTTTCATTATCCATCTGTATTTCACAATTGCTTGCACATTAGCATTAAAAATCCAGCTTAAAAATCCATTTGAAGGATAAATTTCCATATGATGAGATTGCTCAATTTTCCATGATTTTGAGACCACAAGATGAGGCTGCTTTCATATTGACTCAGTGTTACTGGAACCTTTTCTATCATCATTATTTCTTTCTGTCTCCTTCCACTTCCCTCTGCATTTTTTTTTCTTTCTGCCTTTTTTTTTTTCTTTTTCACACACATACACACAAATGCTCTATAAAAACACACAAACAGGAATATAGATTCCTGTACGGTCTATACAATATGAAATCAAGTCATATTTCAAAATAGTGTCATCTGCTTAACATGTATTGTTTACAAATAAAGGAAAACAGGCAATTTTTTTTTTATGATACAAAGAAACCTGACACGCCCTAAATCAAGTCCAAAAAAATCAAGCATGTTAGGGGCTTCTGGGATCACAACAGCTATTTAAATGTATCCAAGGTTATTGAGTCCACTTGATATTCTGCAGTCTCTTTTTGAAATACATGAAAAGGCGTCCAGGGTGGTCTATCAATCCATTTAGACCCTTTGAGTTCCTTGATGTGTTTCAGAGTTAGTAACGCTCTGATCAACACTTTCTATTCACAGTCCACGGCACATTTCTTCAAGGATTTCAAGCCTCTCTGTGTCTGTTTTGTGCCTTATGTGACACAGAAACGCATTCTCAGCTGAAAGCTCTGGGGCGTGTCCCTCTGAAATAAGGCAACGTTATTTTAAAATGGCATCTGACACACTTAGCTGGAGCGGTGATTGTTGTGATCTTTCCAATTTATTAATTATATAGTCCGTCATCAGCGGTACAAACCCTTAAAGTGTTACCAGGGCGTTTCTACTGCCCTATCCAAACCTTTGCAACTCACACATTTTTTCACATATAAACATTCTTCAGATATCGGCACTGTGCCTGGATTTGTAAGCAAAATTTGGATTTTGTTGTGCAAAACAACAAAACAGACACTGACACTTAAGCAAGGTGCATTGCAACCCTTCTGCTCTCCAAATTCCCCCTTAAAACGTGAAACATCCCCCTCTTTAGGCTCATTTTAATCTCACATGATGCAGTAGGCCTCATCCTGGGGCAGGTGTTGTTTAGTCCTCCAGTAAGTAGGCAGATGAGCTCTCAGCACTTTCCTCAGGTCCTCGTTCAGCAGGAGGCAGAAGATGGGGTTCACTCCGGCCTGGGCGAAGCTCATCCACACTGTGATGGAAAGGTACCTATGAGGGATGGTGCAGGACTTTACGAACACCCTCCAGAAGCAAGCCACGATGTACGGTGCCCAGAGGACCAGAAAGAGCAGGGTGATGGTGTAGAACATCCTGCCCAGCCTCCTCTCTGATCGCACCTCCTCCATCCCGAGCAGCCGCCGGTGCTGATTGTGTAAATTTTGCCTGATGCCCAACAGAGTAGGTGGCATGGGACCACGACCGAACCCTGCGATCCAGTTAGCTGCAGCTTGACCTGTGGCCCCGGGACCGTGGAAGGTCCAGTTCTGGCTGATAGCGGGCACCAGCTGGACAGGTTTCATCTTGCGGTGCCTGTATTCAAACAGCAGCAGCTTGGCGTAGAAGCCATGAGTAGCCAGGACCACCACAGCCAGCATGAGCATGAAACCCAGGGTGTCGTTGGTCTTCAGGTAGCGGTGTTCAAAAATGCACTGATCCTCATCACGAATGAACTTATAAGTCCCCACGTCAAAGACGGGTGGGAACGCCATGGCGACTGCCAGAGTCCACACCATGCATATGATGGCGGCACAGGTCCAGATGGTCATGCGTTTGGCGTAAAATCGGTGGTGGGCAATGGCAAGGTAGCGAGTGACAGCCACACAAAACAGCATGAAGGCAGCGTGAAAGCAAAACAGCACAGCCATAAAAGCCACAACTTTACAACTCAAGGCACTGTAAGTCCAGGCCGAGCTGTTGTGGACGGAAACCAGCACAAAGGGGAAGCAGGCAGCAGAGCGAACTGCATCGGCCAGGCACAGGTCCAGAAGAAAGAAATAGGGAGCCTTGTGAAGCGTCCTGTCTCGCAGGACCAGCAGGGAGACCAAGAGGTTGCCTACAAGACTGACACAGATGATCAACCCCAAGAAGACCAGCTTAAAGTAGGCAGACACATCTGTGGCAGAGATTCCTCCATTGTTGTTGCTGCTGTCACTGCTGCTGCCGCCCCTTGCTAGTCCACTCTGAGAGGCCAGCACAGCCAGCAAACTGCCAGGGCCGTCGATGGCAAAGCTCTGGTTAGCCATTCTTTCCCCTTCCACAAGAGCCTGCCTGGTTTGGGCCCCTTTAAAAACAGTACAGATCCTCCTACAGCCGTCGTCTCCCACGGCTCTCTCGTCTTTACAAGGAGAGGCCGAAAGGATCTTTTCTACAAGACAGAATCATCTTTCCTTTTTGTCCACAACCTCGCCACCTGCGAACAGAGACACACACACATTTTGAGGAACGAAAAACAGCACGTCTGACCTGCTCGTTAGGTCGAACACGCTCGCCACTAAATTGAAGCAAAGCTTACATTTAAACACAGTGAATATAGAAGTGCTGAGTTGGGCAACACAGTGGAAATATCTGCCTTCCTGTTTCTCTAAGGCTGGGATCAGATCAGCAGCTCTACAGCATGCCAGCTCCTTGGCTCTCTCAGTAATTACCTTGCTCGTTGCTAAGATACAACAGCTCACATACTTTGTGCAAGTGTGGGTGTTTGAGTGAATGCATGGGGGTGTACGGTGGGGGGTGGGCTGGAGCAGACACAGTACAACCGACACTGGGCATGTCCAACAAACAGGGATGTTGTAAATGAGCAAAGAACATTTTCTGCTTTCTCTCTGCATGCGTGTATGCGTGACAGTCGGTTAAAGAGCAGAGGGTGTAATCAGTATCATTCAAAGCACATAACAAATATAATGGCAGAGCACGGAGCCATTTGGGTTTTTACCGAAGGCCTGTGTGTGTGTGTGTGTGTGTGTGTGTGTGTGTGTGTGTGTGTGAGAAAGAGAGAGAGAGAGAGAGAGAGAGAGAGAGAGAAATGTGTTATGTTACTCAACAGGGTGATAAAACCACTGTTGCCATCACCACGGGCAGACATCAGTGTTGAAGCAAGGAAACATAAACCTTATTCTGGGAATGAAAAATCAAATATAAACCAAATCTGAGACCTGCAAACTCATTTGTGGGTAGAGGATGATAACAATACTCAGTCGTGCTGCTTGTATGGGTGGGCCTTGTCTATGTAGGCCATGACACCCAATACGATTTGCCATAACTGTAAGCTTGTTTTCTTTTCTTTATTCTTTTTTTCAATCATAGCAGCTCTCTGCCACCTTGACAAATATCATTTCACCTGATTAAATGGCTGCCATGGCAGCTAGGCCTGAAACACAGGGTGGAGTGAAAAACACATGAACAGGTGTCAAAATCACCATCATTTTTTTTTATTGTGTGTGTGTGTGGGTGTATGTGTGTGTGTGACTGAGAGAGAGAGCGATAAAGAGATGGAAAGAGAGGGAGAGAGAGATAATAACCTACCTTTCATCCCCTCATTTTTGCATCCTTTCTTTCCTCACGGTAAAAAAAAAAAAAAAAAAAAAAACCAAAAAAAAAAAAAAACCCAACAAAAAAGGGATCCCA